CTGTACTGTGCTACTGCTAATGTAGACGTAGCCTTTTACTTTTGCTGCCCTGCACATTCGCATGCATAGACTTCTTGCATGCTTTTCCTTCTTTCTAAAACAAGCATTGAAATCTACGTGTCATCCACAATGATTTAATTATCTGTGAGAGCCTCACCGCAAAGATCTGTCTTACTCTTTTCAACATTTGCAGTCAGATGAAAAACACAGGCCTTCCAAATAAACCTTTGAAACACAAAGACACAGACCCTGTGGAAATCCATTCCAGCTACAGCTATGCTAGCTGAAGGAATAGTTACTTGAAGCTCACTCCTGCCTACCCTCACCACCCTTCTCTCAAAGACAACTGCGCTCCCAGTGGCATTGCTCACGTGAATGCTCTGTCACCTGTTTCATTTGAAATGGCCCTGCAAAACTTAAGTGGCTTGAACACAAGGTATTTGCTCATCCTGAAACAGGTGAGGGAGAGCTCCCATGGGAGCTGCTCCTGCATGAAAAAACAGCTGCAGATGATCTCTTCAGGTGCACAGCTGCAGTCAGAGGAGAGCTTGTGCCCACAGGAATAGAAAGTGTAGAAGAGGAAGGCTAAAAAACAGATGCCTTAATGCAAAAGCTCTTAATAAAGTCTCACTATTTTCTGTTTTGATCAAGTTCTACCCATAGCAGCTCTTTTGACATTCTCTGTAAAATCCCTCTGGCTGCTGGAGGAGCACAGAGAGGCCTTCTGCTTACATGTACAGTCCCAGCCTTGAGTAAAAGACTGGGTTCCTGGTAAGCCAGGTTCATGTGCATAAGGTCGTTGATTCATGGGGATAAGCCAAGTATTTAAGAGTCATTAGTAAGTCAACATAATGTGGTAGCCTTTTTGATGACTCTCCAGTGTCAGCAGCCCACAACTTTTTTTAAGAGCTTCATTATATATGATAACCAGATGACATATAGTTTAAATGGGACCCAAAATATGAGAGATTCAAAATAGAAGCCAGGAAAAAAAAGGTGTTTATAAACCAATTCCTCTCTATCACATGATAAACAGAAAAATGGAATGTGATTAGACAATTAAAAATTTTAGTCTTTTAAATCTCTAATTTGAAAGAGTCTATGAAAAACTAATGTCTGTTTTCAGATAGTTTATAGTTTCTCTAGATTATTCACAGGTAATATTTGTAGAAAAAGACAACAGATTTCAAACTGATTTTTATTTCAAAAATGGAAAAATGAAGATTTAAGCAGTATGGACAAGAGACAACCCTTTAAAAGGTTTCAATTACAGAGTCTCACCACTGGAAAACATCCTGGTTTCATTCTAGACACATAAATGCACACATACAGACCCACTGGTTTCAGACGCAAAAATAGTTGTTCATTGCTTCCAATTCAATGTTGTTATATTTTCCACTGCATTTTAAATGTCTTAAGCTTTTTCTGAAACAACATTATGCAGAGGTCTTTTCATTTGTACTTTTATTACTTTGTTATGTAAGGATCCTGTGCTTTTGAAGTATGAGGCTGTTATAAATATATGTTGTGGTGCAGATGAGGAACTTCACCAATTTCATTAACAAGTAGCAAGATCTGTGCACATACCTCCCATACAGAATGTTTTAGAAATATGCCCTATTAAATCTAGTTAAGTCAACCTTGTATCATTATTTCATATTAGTGTATATGACAGGATTGACATACACAGAAAAGATGCATCAAAACTATTATATGTCAGCCAAGAAAATGAAAAAAGGAATTCTATATTTTGAAAACTAGGTTAAATATTAGCAAGGTACTTAAATATTTTTAGAAGAAAACGTTAATACGGCTACCAAAAAAAATATGTATTTTGTTAAGGTTTGAGCATTAGGAGGTACTTTGAATACAGATCTTGTAAATCAAGACAAACAAACTTCTGAATGCATACCTATGTAATAAAAGACAGGGAAATGAGAATGCAAACCTGCTCCATCAAGGGAAAGAAGCACTGCTTAAATGCTGTATTTTAGAACATCTGTTGTAAAATGTTAATTTTTTTCCACAAGGAAACATTTTGAAGTAAATAAAAATTTGTACAAAATAGTTCTTTCAAGTCCAACATCATTATCTTACACTGAGTATCAGTCAGCAAAAGATTTTTGCTGTATAAGGTAATACTGATTTCACTGAATTTTTGCACAAATGAAAAAGGTTCTTGTTTTAGGCAAGTCTCAGACTTTTCACAGAATCCCAGAAATGTAGGGCCAGAAGAAAGCCCACGATATCCATCCCTAGCCAACCCTTGCACTGAAAATGAATGAAATTCATCTAGCTCATCTCTTGGACATGGTTGTTTATTCTGTCTCCAAAAAATAGAAAGAGGTTGTGTCTAGAACAAATTTAAGCTGATTGCTCCTTATCCTTCCTCTCCTGACCAAAGAAAACAATCAATTGTCCTTTTTACCACGAATCCCAGGAGAGATTGTATTTCAGTCCATGTACGAGCTCCTACAATTATGTGATTACATGAGATCCTCAGTTTTCTTCTTTCTTCTATTTTCTGCTTCCTACTCTTCACTCATCATACAGAAAATAGCTTTCTAGCCTAGTTATGAAAGAAATTCAAAACAGGGATTCCCAAAGTATGACATCAAGGGAAAAACGGAGAACTCAAGATCATCTTATACATAGTCTCTCTAATCTTATAACTTTGAGACCTGCACTGGAATTTTCTCTCCTTTTAATGTTTGATCTTGCTAGTGAGCATGCAGCTGTGACTCAGACCTTAGGTCATCTCCTGCATGTGTCATTGCCAGGACTTCTGCTGCGTGGTGCTCCTGTTAGGTCACTCATTCGGAGGAGGAAGAGAACTGCTCTCTACGGACTGGCCGCAGAGACTTCCATAACAAGAGATCGTCTCAAATTCGGAAAGGTTTTATGACTTCTCACAGCTTCTGCATGTTCTGACAACATGTGCATTGCAAGAACCAATTCCCCATAGTGGCTGAGTGTCTCCCAGTACCTATTGCTGTGGAGGAAATAATACTGCTGTGTGATATAAAGGAAGGTCTCAATGCCAAAACCTCTTCTGATGTAAAACTGCAGATATCCATTGACTTTAACTGAACAACCACAAAGTTGTTGAGGATCAGACCTCTCATCTCTAGATTACTGGATAATAATATCCTATCAAGGAGATATAAGAAGGTATAAGTAAAGCTCATCAAAATGTTCATTGACAGCAGATTTATGAGAAAAAAAGATATCATTATAAAGACAAAAAAAAAGAAAAGAAAGGTCATGTTCATTAGTAAGAAACAAAAACCTGAAGAAGGTACAGAAGACGCAAATATTACGGATCTACCAGTGCTTTGGAATTTTGTTGTTGAGAGAAAAGGGAGGTTCTCTTAGGACATTTAATTAAAATGAGGTACTGCTTCTCTTTATTTTTACATTTTCAATCTTTCTATTAACATGGTAATACATCTTCGACTACTTCCTTCAGCATTAACAGTTGATTTATTTAATAAAACTGAGGACTGAGCATCACTGGAAATACTGCTTCCAATGGAATGCTCTCATGCTGTGATTGGTGAAGTGCTAAGTAATTTGCTTTTAATGCTAGCACATACTACTTAGCACTATATTTAACGGAATGATGAAAAATCACTCATTTTTCATCTCCTTGCTTAACTGGTGTTCAGTGTAATCTATCTACTGTACTGTGAGCCTAGCACCAGATATATTCTAATAGACCTTGCTCTCTAATCTACAACAAGCATTTTAATTTTTAATTCATACTTATGTCTTTATCCTTTAATAGAACAGAACTACAGATGGGGAGTATGTTTTAGATAATAAGAGCACAGTAGGTACCTAGGGAAACTACACCACTAAAAGGATTCTTTATTTACACTTTTCAGTAATGACTACATATATATAGCTACACGGGAGAAAATTGTTGTAAAGGAACACCACATAGGCAGGCAATTACTATCCAACTATAACTGAGTGTTGTGGATGACGCTGCTGATAGGAGCGCTTCTGAAAACAACGATCAGAATTTTAAAGCCAAATGTCACCCATTGTATGCTGACCAACATCCATGGGAATTCACAGGATGTGAGCAGTCAGAATGAATAAGTAGGATGCTACATTTGCAGCAAAAAAAAGTAAGATCAATTTACTTAATATTTAGGCATACTTTAAATTCAGCTTTCAAGAACATCTACATTTACAGAATTGTAAGTCCCAGATCTGATGAAAGTCAGTGTAGACATGCTGACATAAATGAGGGTATAAAAGTGGTTGATCAGGTCCTTCATGTTGAATACGAAGTCAGGGCCAGATCCACATTTGTTAAAAATCAGCATAGTCCCATGAGGGCTGAAGGTGTGGCCCTCCACCTCCATATATAATGCCAGCCTTGCCATCAGACCAAATACTGGTGTGATCAGACCAAATACTTTCATGAAGTCAAAATCTCAGACTGGGACATCGTACCCAGACTGGGACATCGTAACTCAATGGCTGACAACCTAAGCTATATTATTGCTCAGAGGGACTTTTACCAATTACATTTACCTATTTTCAAAGATAAAACCAAGGCCAAGAAGATGGGCAAAGTGTGATGCTGTCTGCAGCATGCTACCTACTTGGCACTGTTGCCCCCAGGCTACAGTAGGTTACAGATCACTACAGAACACAGCGGAGAACAACTATGTGCACAACTAATCCTATCGGCGTCTATTGCACTATTTGCGTGATTTGCTTGTTACCTAATGGTGAGGCAACGGGTGAAAAGCACTCTTCAGCTCAGGTGGAGGGACTCCACAGGAAAATTCTGGGATGGGAATATTACTCTTCAGTTTGTTTCTTTCTCAAAATTATGTGTAATAGTTTAAAGTGTCAACAGACAAAGTAAAAATTAAAACGGCTATTTTATTCTTATTACGACAGGGAGAAGTCATCTGAATGGTAACGAATGCAATGGACCCCTCCCCCCCCCCCCCCCACCCAAAAATTACATCACTGCTTATAAATACCAAGAATTTTTTACACCATTTCTGTCTGGATGGAACACGTACAGACACACATGTATGCACACACATGCAAATCAATTAGAAGAGGACGAAGAAAAAAAAAGGAAAACCAAATTATTACTTTGCAAACCCAAACAACTGTGTTCAGGACTGACATTTAAATCTCTAGGTTTCTATTTTATGTCATTTAACAATTATTCAGATGGATGAGAACCACAGATTTAACTATCAAAATTAATCAACAACGTGCAAGACATTGTGAGAGGTCTTGCAAAGATAAAAGCATCTAAAAAGTTTTACAATGTCAATGTGAAAAAATGGACCCCAGAAAAGCGTACTAGTCTAAAAAAATGCTACTAACAACTATGTTAATTGTTTAAAAGCATTGTAAATGACTGTTTCAAAATAGCATGGAGGTAAGACTATTCCCTATTCCTGCTTTATTTGCAAGACAAAAAAGATCCAAATACAGGAAGGACCAAGAGACAGGGCACTGGCCTCGGATCGACGAGGTCTGCTCTCTATTTCTTCTCTGCCACTGACCTTTGCAACCTTGGACAAACGACCTTTCTATGCTTTTGCTCCCCTTCCCACCCATCCTTCTGCTATCTCTTCTAGCTGAAATCCCTTTAGGGCATGGTCTACATTTCTTATGCTTTTGTATCACATCAAATAGAAGATATACTGACTTTGGCTGGAACTTATAAGTAATAGTTTAATACTAATAAGAAGGCATGAGAATAACCTCTCTGTTACTTTAAGCTGCTATAGCTCCAAGGGAGGTGGATCTGACCAAAAGTAAGACCCCAGCAAAATGATCTCCTCTGGGGCCTTGTAAATTTTGCAGCCTGTTGGGACTTGGCTATAGAAGTGGTGGCATTTCATGGCATAAAGCCATTATTGTTCCTCTTCTGGGCATCTTTGCAACCTTGTAATTGCAACAGTGTTGTGTTGAACAGTGAACAGTTACTGAAAATACTGGCAATGTTTTATTCATGAAACTTGAAAGGCAAATCAGTGATGTTTTCACCATAACCACAGTGGAAAACAGGTACAAACAAAACTAAGAGATCTAAACTAAGGACTGTCCCAGTACTTGAAAGGAAAAAAAAAAAAAAAACAGATGAAATAATTATATTTGCATGATCCAGCCTATGATCCGATCTTGCAAGGACCCCACACTGAAGCGCTTGTTGAAGTCAGAGAAGAGATATGCATGAAGCATTTGCAGGACAACACTGTCCCCAACACTGTGCACGCAGAGGTGTGAGCATCAGAACTGTAAATCCTGTCAGACAGTAATCATAACACGGACACGAATCAGGATGCAAACAAATCTGTGAACTACGCACTCCTCTTGGAATTAGCTCTTGTTGGAGACAACGTGATTCCCTGAAGATTAGAAAAAAGATACAGATAGAGATACAATTAAATGGGTGACACGGTGCCAGTGATCCTTCCACCCAGCAAGACGGATATGAGCAAGAGCCCATACGCTAAATTTGTCGTTTTCCTCTGAAAAACGGTCTTGTGTGCTCATGTGAATTTGCCAAGTTTTCTGTGTCAGTAAACAAGAGTATCATGAATTTCACAATAACACAGGGTGCTTTTCCCCAGCTTTATTCCTGAGAAGGCATTAAAACACCTGCCTCCAATTAAAGACCTCTGCGTTCCTGCAGAGCCTCATTGACACCGATCAGTCTCAGCTACGTTCAGGGATCCAGCTGAGCCAGATCTTGTACTGAGACCTTGGACAAGGAACAAAAGTAAACAGGTATCTTGCAATAACAATGAAGTCTAAGGACTCGGTGCGTTCCATAATTCTCTCTTACTGAACACTTTGATCCTATCTTTGATCAGCAGCAACTTCACTTACAGTTTGAGATATGTGGACAGGTTCTAATCTGCACGAACCTCTCTTTATTCACTGGAAATGGTTCAACGACTCTCAGTACACTGCGGAAAACACAGCGTAAATCTGAGTGATCGGGGCCATAGCAGCATATGCATTCTGACTTCCACATTCGGACCAATATGTGTGGATATTTACCTAATTATAAATAAAGCAGCTGATTTATGCTTGTGCTCAACATAACTTTAAATGCTGGCTCTTATTCAAGAGAGATTGCTCTGGATTGCATCACTACTGTACTGAGTTTCAGAATGGAAAGTGTGACAGAATTTGGGTGAAGAATGACAGCTCCTCAGCCTTCATGACTCTTGCAATAGATTTATGATACTACCCTAGGATAAAGACTCACTGAAAACTCAATTGTGCAATTTCAGCCCAAACCAATTACACTCTAGTCTTTCCAAGAGAAATTATGGTTTGAAACTATCTGTTTCCTTTTATACCTCACATGGTTTTATGTTTACGTAGGGGCTTTGTCTTTAAGCCAGGTGCAGAGACTGAAAAATAGTACCTTTCCACCTTGCTGTACTCTTCTTCCTTTCCCTCAGCTTGATATGTGAAGATGTAGGCAGCACGCTGTCTGTTTCACTTACATGCTCCTCGGCTGTGCTCATTTCATTACACAAAAGACTTACTCCACTAATATCACCAAATGCCTGAAAAACAGAATGGACAAAACCAACATATTATTATGGCAGCATTCAGTGAAATATCAGAGTGAATATACATGAGTTTCATTACACTTCCCCACCCCTCTCTTCTTGCTTTCAAAACACTGCAGCTTAGACGCTTTTGTGCGTGTGAAATTTTATTCTGTCATACTAATAACCCAGCTTTACAGCAGCTTACAATTTAGCTTTCATGGTTCAGTTCCACTCCTAGGCCTTATAACAATTTTTATAACAGTTCTGCCAAAATATTATAGAGTAAAAGTTACTGTAAATGTATTCACTAATACAGATACAGCAGTGAGATTAGCAATTTAAACACATGTGAAATGTGAATTCAACTAATTTTTCTCAGACTCTAAATGCTTAAGCAAAACAGTAGAATGGGGTTTTTTTACTCCCATTGCTTTTAATAATTTCCTCTTATGATGTTCTTGACACATGGAGAAGATTTGAGTGAATAAAGAATAGACCTTCAAAGAAGAAAATCATGGCCCTGAGGAGGAGATGATGTGTTATAGGACTGGAAATTGGTTATAGAGCCAAGACACTGCATCGAATCCAGCTCAGCTCGTTAGCATTTACCACATCACACGTCAGATCCGCGGCTTGCGCAATGTGGGTGGCATTTTGTACAAGAGTGTCCTGGCTCTGATTCCGTTAACTTTCTGGGGTGCCCATGCACGAAAAGTTTTGCTCAGATGACTGTTAGCAGAAACCCAATTTCAGTTGCTGAGAAGTAATGGATCCTTAGCTTTGTCTAGCTGTTGTTATTCAAATGCTAGCATAGAAAAATCAGATTGCTCCAGTAATGTAGTGTTTTAATGACTATTGCTATTCTCAACCAGACTTAGCACAGTTGTAATAAGTTATACAAATACTGATTTATGTACGGGAATAATCTCTACTTTCCATTGCATTTATATATATAATTATATATATATATATAAATAACCCCACTGATGAAGCTTCTTAAAATCTTTGACATACTTTTAGTTTTGATACCTTGTGAAGCTGGGAAGTAGTTTCCTCTATAGCAGGGGAGTACAGGAATTTTTCCAAGCTCACATAAGAAACTGTCATTAAACACTAAAGTAATCTCAGACCTCCTGAATCCTAGGCAAGTTTTTCTCATGCCAGACTGCTCTTTCTTCTTAGCTAAGCACCATTTACCAGAATATCTGCCATTTTATTTTTTGTTTTATTCTCTTTCACTAAAAGACAGTCCAGATTAAGACTGTCTTAATCTGTTTCTCTCATGGCATAAACTATCTTCTGTCTTCAGACAGAGACGACATGGTGGGGCTACTTAGTAACACTTTTATGACCTACAAAGTCAAGAAGACAAACGAACAATAAGAGAACTGTACCATCAGTGAGCTAAGAGAAAGAACAGTGCTTTTCCTGTCACAATAGTCTGAGAAAATATCATGCAAATATCATCTAGGTATATTTGGAGATTTTTTTCCTAATTTTTGGGAGCTGGAACACTTTGATTTATATGTTTCTGTGCAAAAGAGCGGACATAGGGGATATTCAGAGTTCACTGGAAAAGCCTTTTTGTTGGTGGTAGTTAACAAATACCAAAAGGTCTTTCAAACCTGATACCATGTGGCATGCCTGACCAAAGCAGCAGAAACCTTCTGCTACACTTCAGGTGCTATCGTTTACTTAACGTACTTTAAATTGAAGCTTGTATGGATTTGTCAGGTTTTTAGATTCGATCAGATGTTGTATATAGTACTGTTATTAAATTAAAGTCCAAATTGTTGTTTCTGAAAGCGACTTAACAGCAGTAACCTTACAGTTAATCAACCATGTAGTAAAGTTCACTGTGCAGTTACTGTGGTGTAATTATAAAGTGAGCAAAAATATAATTGATGCATTTTGTCAATCTGTGTAGCTGCAAGGTACTTTCTCAAAGGTTATTTTTTTTATTCAGATAAAGTAAGTTAATACTTTTTTAGCAATTATCCTTTGACTTCACAGTTTTTAGTGCTGATTCAGGTAAAAGTATGTGATAGAGGAATAAAGACTATAAGCATTTAAGAGTACAAAACATTTTGCAGCCATCAGCGGCTATACACTCACAGCATAAAGTCATTCAGAAAATACAGCAAATCTTTGTGTTTAAAGTACATTTGAACTGAAAGGGAAGAGTTTCAAAATAGCACTTTTAAAGTACTCTTCCATTATCAGCACTAATGTTTATTATTCAGCACAACTACACTGATATGACAACATTTATCCCATAATAGTTTGCTCACATTGAACGGATGCGCCTTGGCAGAACTTGCTCCCATCCCTTCTGCGAACATTGGAATGAAATAGCTCTAACTCCTCAGGCCCCCACAGAAAAATAAATGTAAATATCCATGCCCATAAAACACCTATGTGTGCCTTGGCTAGGTATGTAACCCTTCCTCCTCACCCTGTGCTCTCTGCCAGTAATAAAGAAGCCAGCACGACTGAAAATTGTGGATTCATACGCAGAAAAAGGCTGTAATGCTGCAGCGTAGGTATTCCTGTCATTTGCCAGTTATCTGAAAGCCTGTGCATCACACTGCGAGCCAGTGGTAGACCTGTCTCATCACTTTCCTGCTCATTCTGTTGGACCACAGTCCTTACCACAGATAAGGGGGATACACGGTCTTGATGGAAATGCACCTTGTTCCCCGTGGCTCTGTGGTTTCTGTTGTGGGGAGTATACAGAAGCTGGGATCTGGAGAAAACTAGGGGGAGGAGAAAGGGCCATGCACTGCAAGGCTCCTTCCTGCATTTCCATCCTGCCGCACGCAGCGGCATAACCCCTGATAGTAGTTGATAACATATCAAGCTACAGTTGCCATTAAAATATATATCTCAGTCTAATGAAAGAAAGAAAATAAGGACACAATGTGATACTTAACTGACTTGAAAAGGGTAAATAACCCAGGTAGTACTTACTCAGATATAACTTCTCAGCTCAGAGGCACTGTATGCATCCTCTTAGTCCATAGCAAGTGCATAACAAATGGGTTAGCCTACCCATCATGAGGGCAGGGGAGCCACTGCCTGGGTCTGTTTCAGGATGGGATTGACATACCACATTTAAGATGAGTTGGATCAATTTAAGAGGAAAGCATACAAATGCAAGGTTTCTCGAGAAAACCTCTTCTTCATTGTTCTCTCCTTTTCAGTAGGGGGAAACAGCTGCCTGGACAACTATTTTTTTTCTTAAACTAATTATCTTTAACTGAATTATGTCATTAAATGAGAAATGTATAGTGGTAAAGATAAATTAAAACAGTCTAGTTTACCTCTTATTTGCAGGGGAACTAGGAATACTGTCATGACCCTCACCTAAAGGGCTGTACATTTTCAAACTACCAAAATGATCACCTATGCCAGTGGACACATCCCTTAACTGACTTTTATCCTATACGATTCCCAATTGAATCTCAATGCACGTCGATATGAAACAAGGATCATTCTCCCACTGAACCCACTTAAAAAATATTGATTAGCTTCAGCAGAACAGGATTAGATCTTAGAAGTAGCTGGGCAGCACACGGTGAAACCCATCTAGCCCAGCAGTACATGCACACATGTATGCATATGTATGGGTGGAAGCAGTCTTACAATGCAGCCTGGGATAAATTTCCACTGCCGATCCCCAGCTGGGTACAGAGATCTCCAGGAAATCAACTCCTTGCAAACGGGCTGAGCTCACAAATGCCCCAGTAGAGCTCTGCTGAAGCCAACTCATGTGAGTCAATTTACACCAAATAATTACCTCTGCCCAATAATTACCTTTCCTGCCCCTCTGCAGGGGCTGGTAGAATGATGAAGCCATTCGATGATGAAGCCATTAGCTAATAAATCAGCCTCAGCCTTTAAGGGTGCAATCCTCCCTCTTTTGCTTCTTCTTTACAAATCTTTAGTGACCACTGTAGTGACACTCCTTAGGAAAACACTATGTGGCGCTTTTGTGATAAACTTGGCCATATTTTTCACTTAATAAAGTTAGAGCCAGAAAAATGGTTACAGGCATAAACTCCACTGGAGTCAACTGCATGGCTTATGCACACATGGAAAAAAAATAGGGCCCAATATTCATAGTAACATTACATATATAAAAAGAATTTGTGGAATTAAGAATAAAACATGAGGCAATTTGTTGATTTGCTCAGGGAATATATGGGAGTGACAAATGTGTAGATTATTCTAAGGCTGTTCTTTAATGTCATTATCAGATCCAAGAACTGTATATAAAAGCACACAGTCCTTCACATGCTAAAAGTATAGTTTGCTCAAACAGTTGTACAATATTCAGTATTCTTAAGATTAAATATCTGAATATTGCTTCTGAAGAAACAGCTGTCAGCTTAAATCTAAAGTCTAGTTTGTTTACTGGCTGTATTTTATATCTGTTAGAAAATGACACCAAATGGCAATAAAATTGTTGTAAGTATTCTACTGGGGAATATAAATGCCCTTTGGTTACGGTGTACATATCTTTATACATAATTCCAGTATATTTCCCTAGAATTATGTTAAATATGTAAAAAGCCTTTTCTCATAAAGGTAAAAATGCTAGATGTTTCCAAGCTGTAATTTAGCATTAGTGTCAAGATTGCTTCAGAAAATAAGCTACGGTTACTGTTTCATTCTTTTTAAGTGTCACTCAGCATACCATATCTGATCTTGTATTCAAAATAAACTTATATGATTTTATTCACTTTTCCAGAAGTGCAAGAGAGTTGAGACATAATTTATAGCATATGGATTGATGTAAATAGCATAAAGTAAGTAATTGGCTAGTCACCTACACTGTCTTATCCTATTACTACTAGGTACATTTCAAATAATTAGGGAAAACAAATCTCTTTTATCCAGTAAATTTAAATTGAATGAATCCTTGACATTTGTGTAGGTTTATTTGATAGATAAAATCATACTATAAAAAGTTTCTCTACAATGCTGAGGTTTACTAGGCCTATAATAAGAAACTGATTTTTTGCTGAGTTAGAGTGGCTTATCTTTGCCCTTTTAATAAGAAATCAACTCCAGTCAGCAAAAGCTGAGATAAAAATCACTGGGTTGGTGTTATCACAGTGTAGACTGCAAATACTTATCACTATCATTAACTGTTTTGTGCACGGATTTCCAATACACTCAAAATGCTAAAACTCCATAATTTCCTCTACATTATAATAACATAAGATTAATGAATGAGGGAAAGCACGATAAGTGATTTATTTTGGGAAGGTCATTCCTTGGTTAGCCAACACCTAAATTGAATACTATAAAGGGGAAATATATTATAGGTAAAAAGGAAAATGGGTTTTACTGCATGTGAATTCTTTGAGTTTTACAATGCTTCTGATAAAAGCACTGCACTTACAAGTTTAACCTCTATAATTTTTATGCTGCACATTTTTAAAAAAATCCTTTTTATTTAACATTTGTAAGGCAATTTATACATGTCACCTTGTACTTAATGTTCCATTTAAAACAGTTATTTTTGCCTCATGCTTAGGAAACCTATAAAACTACTTTTCATATCAGACATGACATTTCTAGTTATGCCAGTAAAGTTGGTCTTTTAATGAGAATAGCATATCTAGAAGAATATAAATACTTTAAACAACTTATTACATAGAGAAACAATACTGACTGGTGTACTCCTGATTCAACACCTGGGCACATGCCTCACTTAAAAATTGAAAATGAGAAAGTAAAAAATTGAAAATATTATTAAAGTAAGTAACTCTCAACTCCTTGACTTAAGTGAAGGTCACACTTAAGTGCTTTGCTGCACTGGGGCTACAATAGAACATTGCTTTAACTGACGTCCTGAAGAGTAAGTTTAGGTGTTAAGATAACATAAATTCATACATAACATAAATTCATTACAAGTGGTCAAGAACTTTATAGTAAGATTACACAAAAATGCTTTTATGTCAGTCAAAGAATATCTTCAGATATTCACTAGGAGTTGAACAAATGAGCCTGAGGAAGACTGTGGCCCAGTTATTATTGTTTCTGTGTTGTTTTCTCATTCAAAATGCTCATTTTCATATATTATTAAAATGCATATATTATTTCTGAACAACACCTAACAAAAGTAGCAGCCACCATGCTATAATGACACAAAACATTACAAGTGCAAGTAGAGATATGTTAACCCCCAAATGCTTGAATTAGTGAGGTCCCATTATCATAATTAGGAATAGGTCTTATGGCTGTTTCAAGTGTGGTTTCTGAAAGTAATGGAAATTAAAAAGGCAAAGCCTTTTCATTTTGCTGTCTGCAGTTACATGATATTAGAAGGACTTCACGGTTCTTAATAAAAGTGGACAAACAAACAAAAAGTTACACAGAAGTAATTGCATTTTCACCTTCAGTGGCTTACTGTAAAAAAAAAATAAAATAAAAAGGCATGACTGACATAAGAATGTGCATGCAACCCACAGTTCCTGCATGATGTTGAATAACCCTTTCTATTTGGAAGTTATACAACAGTGCTGGAGAGGAAGAAGCAATGAATGTAGGTTTGTCTCTGACTGTGTGGACTCTGTAGACCAGTTAGAAGTACACATAAGGGCAGGTCAACTCACATTTGCCACAGATCAGCTTTGTTCCCACAGGCCATGTTCCTACAGTCACAAGATGGCATTCTGTATAAATATGACTATCTAACCTGCAGTACTGTAGAAAAACTCTCAGAAGAGTAATCAAACTGCAACTGTGAATGAGACCTCAGGTGAGCTGGGGATAGCCCGGAAAAATAACTCTTGAGAAATGCGAGATATGTGATATGTCAGTCACATGTTAACTCCCAAGACCTACTGCATGGAGCATGCGTACTAACAGGAACTGAATTGCGATACGAAAAGTCGGCTGGTTTTGGACTACCCACCAAAGAAATATATTGCAGGCACTAGAATAATGTTTCTGCTGCCCATCTTATCTCTAATATGGAGAAAGAGACTTGCTGATCATGAAGAAAGAGAGAAGGCAGTTGCTGCTCCTAAAAAAGAGAGGATGGGGGGCAGAAGAGGTGACAATCCCTGCCCTCACCATGGTGGAAGAAGAGCCCTTCCTCTTTCACCACTGCCAGTAGGGTGAGGAGGGGAATGAAAAACCTGCTTATACAAGAGGTGAGCTTGTTTTAATTCTTCTGGCAAAATGTAGTGTCCATTCTGGCAGAAAATGGATAAGATTATGCTCTGTAAATAGATTAAGTAGGTAAACTCCTGGAAGGAGAAATCTTGTTTACACCAAAGGATGATGCAAATAAATAGATATAAAATGACCATGAATAAATTGAGTCTGGAGAGAAGGAAGACACTTCTGACCAAACAGACAGTAAGGATCTGGGAGAATCTTTCCATGGGATCAGTGGGAACAAAATACCTACCTTGCTGTAAAGTTTCACACTGAAAAAACGTCCTGAAGTGTTTATACATGATGTAGTTGTCTACAAAGTTAGTAGACTGGACTCAGTATCCCAGAAAGCCCATCACAGTCTTCAGTTCATGCACCTTTAAAAGCTATAGTTTGGGCTGCAATGCCACACTTCAGTTCCCAACACATTTTCTAACCCCACTCAAATACCACCATTTGGTATTTGCCACACAGGAGAGGCAAAAAACCTGATCCTGAGGGGAACCAAAAGCAGCAAGAGGCAAAGCTTAGGTGTATTTGCCCCACAGCAGACCCACAATGGGGTTTCCTCACAGTATACTTGCCATGGTCCCAGCTCTTGTATAAGAGAGAAAATTGAAACTTTCCCATAGAGATTTTGAAGCAATTTGGAAAATGGAAGATTTCATTGAACGTCCTTTCCACATTCAAAGAGTAGCTAACTTCCCACTAGTTAGCATATGTTTTTAAAATTCATTAACTTACAGAATATTCCTAACTAGGGACTGAATCAGAAAGCTCCAACCTGTAAAACACACAAATGTATAACTACAACCTATATTAGCTAACTCTAAGATCTGAACGCAGGTTCTATTGAAATTAATAAATACATTTATTAGACATAACTGTAGTTAGATCTACAAGTTTAAAGGCTGTAAAGCATCCATTGACCTCCTAAATTACAGGTGTGGCTTTCAAGATGACGATATAAGACTCTGCCGTGTAGATTTTAGGGATGGACTATGTTGTGGTCTGATGTGAGAAACTGTATAAAAGGCTATAGCTAGAGCCATTTGCATTACGCAGCGCTCACTTTCTGGATGCTAGTCAGCATTAGTTCAGAAGGTGAAAGAAGCAGGTATCTGCTAGACTCCTTGGCTCAGATTGGTGTCTAAATAACTCATCTGGGAAGGCAAAATTACATTATACGGGAATGCATTTCCCCTTTTTCAGAAATGGGAAAAGGATTAGTGAACTGAGACCAGGACGGAGAGGTAGGATTGCCTCACATGTTCGAAGCCCTTCCTTCCACATCCTTGTGGAACCTGAATGAAACCTGATGACTGAAAAGCCAAAAAATAACTTAACTGGGAAAAGCCATTCTCCACAGAGCTATTGTTTGTAACAGGGGAAAAGTAGGAATGGGGCCGGATTGTTGACCTCAGAACTGGGAAAAGGCATTCTGGCAAAAATCTAGCTTTGTACAGGGAGCTTTTTAACAGATTCAGGCATGGACCTGGATTTGCAGGATTCTTTATTTTAATAATTAAGTTCTACTTCATGTAGGTCACATGCCTTCCCTTGTTTTCTTTGGCCAGCCATAAGACTCTGGTGTCTTCACTTTGGTGAATCATGAATTCCTGGGGCAGAGAATTATATCTGGATTCCTTGAGGACAGTGTTCTTTAAATTAAATTTTCTTTAAAAAGCCAACTAGGGCAAAGACATTAAGAATGAAATATTTTAATACAGAAAACAGCCTTCAAACACTAACCAAAGGAGCAGAAGCAACTTTATACTCATTGTGAAAAGACATACTTGAACCTTCACCTTAAAAACGAGCAGCTGAAAATTGTGTACTTCAGCATCTTTTGGTTTGCTATGGTGCATAGACCTCCACGAATACGCTCCTGCTTATTATATGAGTAGGTAAAGCAATATTTTTTCATTCTACTTTCTATTAGATGCCAATTTTTAATTTTTTTAAAGGTCTCTCAACACAAGAGCAAAAGCAACAAGTAAATGCATCCCTTATAAGTACTTAGCACAAAAGGACAAACAACAAAAAGCAGGTTAAGAAACAGGTGATGGATTAGACTTTTTTTCTTTTTTAAATACCATTTTGCACTGGGTTTTAGTACACAAGCTGCTTGCAGCATGCCTAGAAGTATGACAACAACAGGGATTCAAACTAAAACTTGCAAGATGCCAGTAAGTCATCTAATAACTGTGTATCAGGTCCATGTGTTTGCAGAAAAACTAAGCAAATTACCATACCTGTAGTCCTAGCTATAAAATAAATGGACACAACAGTTACACTGTATATTTATATACAATAATTCCTGTGTAGAATGAATGTATGCATTTCTTAACAATACATATTTATAAAATAATCCATATGTGTGCAGTTTCAATGTATATTTTATTCTCATAATAGCCTTTAAATAGCTCTATAAAGCTATGCATTAACTCATTGATTTGACACTTTATTATTTAAGGTCTTCCTATGGAAGATCTCAGTGTGTATTTTGTGAAGGGACAGGCAGGTCGGTTTTCCTATTTTAACACTGACCTACGTATTAAGCGCACGTCTTTATATTTAAAATCAGCATGTAGGGAAGCTGTTTGGACCTACCTCAATGATAGCCCCATCAGGTAGTCTCAGGAAATGTCTGTAGAGTTCCTGGAAGCCGCTGAGATGGATAGTGTACACAGACACGTGAACGGTGATATCTCCGGAGGTAGCTGCAGAGTCAGAGATTTCATCTTGGTGCTGGAGGTCACAGCTGGAGATACCAGACTTGCTGGCATGGTCCTTCCAGATGTAATCATACACTGCCACCTAGTGAGACAGAAGGCCCCCCCATACACACACACACACACACACACACACACACACACACACGCACACGCACGCACGCACACGCACGCACGCGCGCACACACACACACACACACACACACACACACACAGACACACACACACACACAGTGTTCCCCCACCCCCCACCAAAGGAACATATTTAATTAACTTCTAGTAAGAGCTTAACCGATTCAAAATGATTTTACAGTAAATCTGCAAAGCCTGTACCATGTGCAGTGCTTGCACACAGTTCTACTACATATTTTTTATGACATAGATCTAAATAGAGAAGATAGAAAAATCCCCAGTGTATAATCTATAAAGTTAATTCTGCACAGATGAAGCTGTAATTGACTCCCGTATTAACCAAAAGTAGGGAGATCAAGCAGGGTAGGTTAAACAATAAAATGGCAATGCTGATTAAAAAAAAAAAAAAAGCTTACTGAGAATTTTGTGAATAAGTATTTGTATTTCTCTCTCTTTGAGAAGCCTTTGCTCCTTTACCCACAAGCACTTTTTAGTCTCTGATCTCTGTATAGTATTAAAACAACCTTGTGCTGCTAACTGAATTGTAGCTGAGGCAGAGTAAATAAGATATATCTGTGTGTTCTATAAAGCTAGTTTATTGACATAGTTACCTATTTTCCCGTTTTACTATAAACACATTCGCTTGGGTAGATCTTGTACTGTCTCTTTTCAGTCAGAATTTCCATTTAACCATTTTCACGTTAATTCTTAAAACAGGCTGAACAGAATTCAAGACATAATCTGCCACATAACACAGGTCTTAAAGCAGCTCTTACTCTTAACTAGGACTGATGATTTTATTTTTATTTTTATACTCCCATTCAAATGCAAGCTTTTTAACCCTTCACTTTTGCAAGACCTTTGTGTAACTAGGTTTTTTCCATGAGATACCAGTCCTGTTTGCAGTAGGAACGGATTGGTGATATGGTTATATCCTTATAATGTAGCAGCACGCTGCTCCTAAACACTTTCACTTAATACAGACAAACATTTTCACTTAATACAAATAACTCACCTGCCATTCCTTCAGCCAGTTAGATACTGCCTGAAATGACTAGACTTCACCACTGAAGGTAGCCACAGAAACTCTCTAATTTAAGAAAAGCACAACCAAAAAAGTCTTTTGTGTAGCTTTGCTTTTTTCTTTCTGCTGAAAGAAAAAGCTCAGTTTCGTGCCAGAGATCCAAAATCACAAGATACAATTTCTTTTTCCGGTAGGGATAAGTTAAGTTTAGCTCAGTTTGCTTGTGTTCCAGTTCACATTTGCTCAGCTATTCTTACACATTAGGAGGAATTGTGTAACTAGCGCTGTGCTGATGTCGTGAGCCTGCCACACACGCTACTATTCTCAGCTACTGCCTCGGGAGAGTTTTTAGGTGAGTTAAGAAAATAGTTACATGCACTGAAAAGTATCTCTGACTCCTTCGCAGGAATGGTAGAACAATAGGAAACTTCATTTTAGCGTCAGCTTTCATTTGCATCAGTCCTGAACAATTTATACATTTTAAAATGAAGGAAGGTAAAAAAAAACGAAGCTAAAACACATACAGTCTGAATTCCCCAAATCAAAGTCTCAGGGCTTAAAAGGCTTTCATTCAGAATAACTGGTTAGAAATACAGAGCAGCTGCAGGAAATAGCCTCAGTAGAGACAAGCCCTACATTTTCTTCTGCCTAACACGCAAATATATTTCGTACTCCTGCCATACACAATTGCTCTGTAAGAATTAAGGTGACTGCTGTTCTCAGGAAAGCAGAAAGGTGACTTTTTCTGGGACGGGCTCCCAGAAAGTGTTGGTCAGGGCAGAGCCAAGCAGCTGCAAGAACTGCCACCCCGCAGGTCACAAGGCAGGAACCAGGACCCTGCCCCAGTTACCCTCCTCGCTAGCCCCAGGATCTCATAACCGGGAGCTCTTCCCTGTCTGGTCAAGAGCTCCAAGCCCTGCATGGCCTCACATCTTCTCCCTAATTCGTGACTTCAGGCAACAGAAACAGCTGGAAAGGCCAGTTCAGGGACTCAGTCTGCAGGGGATCTGCACAGCAACAGGGGTGATCTCCGGACTGCAATGATCCCGCTCTTATGCTAGATGCCTTTTCCGCTGTGCAAACTGACTGTTTTCTTCTCTCCCTCAGGATATTTTCAGCCCTCATCAACTCCTCACATCCTCCTAGTCTCTTCTCTTACCTCTGTCTTTGCCCACTTTCTTTAGCTCTTCTTGCCCTTCTTTTGTGTTTGTCCCTATCAATAAGTATGGGGGTTTACTATACAGTTTGCAAACCATGGATCACTCACTATCTACTCTGCATCCTTTTCAGCATGCTGCTCTGTCTTGCTCATTTCTGTTGCGAGCTCTGCGGAGCAAGGAGTCTCATTCTGTGCTCGTACAGAGCAGGGGACAGCAGGGACCTCTGACTACCATCACACAAATAAATAACCATAAATATTTTCAATCAGTGCCAGAGTCAAGTGCAATTTATATCCCACAGTTCTCACATTAGAATCAAACTCAAGAGTTGCTGAAACCTTTTTGCTCAAGTCCCAGGGCAAAGACCTGCCTTGGGACTTTGCAGCTGTAAGTGCCAGCCTGCGGCACAGCATCGGTGCGGGGCCAGGTAGCGCCTCGAGAACCTGTTCCTTGCCTCCATCTCTGAGAGCAGACAGATCTGTACGGCAGCACGGGGTCAGCCAAACCTGACCTGTTGTCAGGTTTCAGATCTGACAAACTCCCTCTACGGACATTTATTTGATTAGCCAAGAGAATGTGAAAAGTGCAGCCTGATCATCAAACAGCTGAGAATGGGAAGCACCACCAAACCTGATGGTGCCGTGCTGAGTAGCATCACACATGTCCAGGTAAGGGACAACGAAAAAGGAGGAAAGGGGGGATGCACGATGCTAAGACCCCAGTATCCACTGCAACCAGTGCATCACTCACTGGCCCTTTCTCAAAGTCATATAGGTAATATAAATTTGTCTGAATGCAGATTCTGCAGTACATGCTGGAAATCAACACAGGCCAAGGAAAGTGCAGACACTGTGACGTCGGGCTGGGGGTGGTCCTGGATTTAGACACCCCAGATCTCATGTTCTGACCCCAGACTGCTCAGTTCTGTCCTCGCTAGCACTGCTGTGAAGTATTTGGCAGGCTGATGTCCACTGAAAACTTTCAAAATGCATTTCTGTTAAGTGATAGGTCACTAGAGAGCCTCTGTGGCCTACATAACCTGAAGTTAGCTCCAAAAGTAAACTCTACTGTCATCTGAAATTTCTATCATTAAGTTAATCAAAAATGTCCATTCATTTCTACAGGAATACAATATGAGTTAATAAATCCACCGAGACAGGCTAGTCAAGAGACTGTGCATATAGGACATGTCAGAGGAACTGAAGTTAGCTATGATCTAGATTCACAAGGGCTGACAAGAAACCACAAAATGCCAGAGCAGTGTACAGTAATCCTTAAATGAAATTCATCTTTCAGCAGAAAAACACATTAAGGATGGTAATTCAATGATAAAAGAGGCAGGCCAGAACAGGTTCAAATGCTGAATATTTCACAACATAACTTAATTAAAGCAGGAGTATGAAGCTGTTAATCGCTTTATAATAGTTCAGCTTGAAATGAGGTTTGATGTGAATACCCTTACAGTTTATTTGTTTCAATTATTATAATCACACAATGCTACATAGATTTAATGTAAATACACATTTTTCACTGGTCCTTAATATGTTGGTTTTTTCTCCTTTAGATCATCTTCTCTTTGTGCAAGTATGCAAAGGGAAGAACTGGGAGGAAGGGTCATAAATTTAGGTCAGATCAGATGATTTAGTAAGTCTCTTGTGGGTTTAAGTCTTATTAATAATTTTAATACATTCTTCCGTGACAACAATGATTTCAATCACTGCTCTGTTAACGTACAGTGTGACGTAAAAATACACAGGCTTTTAGAAGAATGGAACACGCTTCTCATACAAAGAAAGGTAAATTATATCACCCACTGGATGCTGCAGTATGTAATCTAGAACAAAAGCTAAAAACATATTTGTAAGTATAAAAAGAAATGCATTTTGATGCACATCTATATCACTCACATATCAAGTATATAGAAACATATGTTATTGAGGTAGAACACAGTAACACCTTAAATAAAAATACATTAATGAATGTATATTCCTAAATATATTTCACTCTTGATGAACTGCAAATTAATATGGATATTTCCAAGTTCAGAGCATAGAAAAAGCCATGGCAGTGTGCAAAGGTTATAATGAGCTCTTCTACTGTCTCATAGTTTTTGTAAACAAAAAGAAAGGAAAAAGGAAGTCCTTAAAGTTTCAGGGCTAAAGGGGGAATCTGAGGAAGATAGACTTTTAGTATCTTTATTTCTAAAAAAGAAAAAAAAGAAAAAAAGAAATATACATGCATACATGTGCCCATTTTACTATGAATAGTACCTACTCATAGCTTGCCAGTATTATTATCAGGCAGTATCATGTGAATCAATTCCAGCTTCACGCACTGCAAAATGTAAGAAAAATGTTTGAAAGCAGCATCGCCATTCAAAGAAAATACATAAAATGAGCAATACGGACCAAGCCAATGCGCTGAGAATGGGTGGAACTGCAAGCTGGTCATGATAAATAATTAGTAAAAGTTACAAGCTGTTAACTGTAGGCGAAAGGGTAAAAGTGATGAAATTATAGGAAAAAGACATCAAAAGTCGAGGGTGTTGTACTTACTTCAAATAACTTTCATAAACATGGTAAATGCATTTTCTGTGGTAACAGCTGTAAATATGGGAACTGCTATCCTGAAGGCAATCTTTGTTAAACCAGTGTAGCTCTACAATTAAAAAACCAAAAGCGGGCTAGTATTAACCTTCGAGGGAAGCTCAGCACCCCTTAAGTATTTCAAGCCCCATCAACAACACTCTGTTGCTAAAAACCTCGCCAG